GGCAACTTTAAGACTTGTGGACTTCAACTCCCAGAATTCCTCAGCCAGCTGGCTGAGGAATTCTGGGAGTTGAAGTCCACAAGTCTTAAAGTTGCCAAGGTTGAGAACCCCTGAAATACAGTATATGAAGATTTTTCTCAGATGTTACTAAATCCAAAGGACAGAAAGAAGAATGGGATATAGTCTAAAAGCCAGCTTTATCTTGCCTCAAGAGTCTTTCTTACCTCTCTCTCCAATTACAGTGCTCCATACAGCCAGGAATTTGTGATAACAGTTTTATCTTAGACTTGTCTTGTGAACATAATGAGATCAGATTTGTAAGGGCAGGATTTTTTTCCTGCATTTTAAGAAAAATGATAATAGGCTGCTCCAACTGAGTGCTGAAGATGTCACTTAGTGAAACAACGAAAGGTCTACAAGCAAACAACCAAGCTCAGAGAAGACCAACAATTCCACAGACTTCTCCAACTTGACTATCCTCAAAATAGTGTGGATGTCAATTCTCAGAAAAGCTCTAATAGCCAGAGAATTTGGGGAATAGAAGGCTGTCATCCAGAAGATGCACAAATTTGAGAAAATTGTATCAAACTACGTTATAAATATACTATTCTACTGAACCTCTGTACACATTAAAAAACCTAGTTTTAAACTATTTCATATGCTGCATCTGATAAGAATCATCTTATCTAAAAGATTAGTTATTTATGATACAATTATTGGAATGAGAAAAGGAGTGGAATGGAAGGAGCTACTTTTTCCCTCTAAGATGTTGAAGGGGAAAATGTTGATATTAACTTCCTGGCCTTCCTATCAAATGCATGCAAACACAGAGGCTTTTTACAGCTTGCATGTCTAAGATGGTTTCCACAGGAAAAATCTTTACAAATTAGAGCCAGTAAAGTGAGCTTGCAAAAGTTCAAAATTGGGGAGTGTATCACAATCTTCTCTTGTGTTGAAAGGAATTCACTTCCTAACATACATTTAGATTCAGAAAGAGCTTCAGTTTCACAGACACCCTTAGCAGCTGTGTTAACAGTGAAGGAGCTTGCTTTGTAAAGCAGTACAGTTATTAAATTTCTCCAGAGACCATGACTCATTAATCAAATATTCATACATCTTTGTAAATACACACAAAACAGAGAATGACTTCAGAGTGGACCATCCCAACACAAGGTCTCTTTCATGTAGGGCTGACAAAAATACTGAGAACAAGAGGTCATGTTGTCCATTTCTGATGCCCTATGTACCCCAATTCCTAAAACAGAACAGAAGAAATCTTACCACAGGCAAAGGCTATGGAGTTACAATTAAAATTACTTTGCTATTGCTTCATACTATCTTGCTTTCTTGGAAACAAAAAGTAGAATAATTTCTACTGTTCTTTGTTTTCTACCCGGCAAGTCACTTTCCCCTTGGGAGTATGGAAAAACCAAAGATAGAGTTTGTATGAATTTGTCCCATGCATTTGTATTAGTGTGCACAAAAACAACTTTACCACTTGGACTATGGATCTTAGAGAAAGCAGTCCTTTGAACTGAGGCTTAGCTACTTTGACAGCCCAGCTTTACAATCTGTGAAGGGATTAAACTTGCTCTCCTTTTCAAAGCATTTGTCTTGCTGCTTATTCATAGATATAAACTGCAGATTATTTGCTAATGTTTTGGGACTGGGTCCTGAACTAACCAGAATGTATTTTTTCTATCAAAGTTTTTCAAGTCAAGCAACAACAGGCAGACTCGCTTAAAACAAGCAGTTTGGGTTTTGCTTGGAAAATGGCCAGCACCTGTGCTGCTGTCCTATCTCTTTAAAACCTCTCCCCAGCCAGCACCGCAATTTGGCTATAAAAGGTGTGCTGAGAGGCAATTGGGTGTGGTGGATAGGGGATAAATTGTGTGTTTGTGTGGGGGGGAAATAAAGCAGTCTAAAGCAGCCTAAAATAGCTAGAAAGAATTTTCTCTAGTAGTTAGTGTAGCAGGAGTAGTAGTAACAGTGGGGAAGAGTGGAGTAGTGGTGAGTAATGAATAAATAGCTTATGAATGTATGTTACCTAGGGGCTTGTGCTGCTGTTGGCTCCTTTGTGTCTTGAGCACACCAAACTGAGTGTAGTTAAAAAGAACTTGACACTAACCCACCAGAATACTTTTGGATAGAATATCTAACTTGTTCCCTTAATTTTATGAAGAAACTTTTCTGAGTATACCCATGGCTATGTTTTGCAACCAAGATAGCTGAGATTTTTTGTTAACTCAGATTCAGAATGGGAATTTTTACACCTTTCTCCAACACTGCAGATTAGAGATCTGTAGAAGGCCACCATTACACAAAGCAGAACATATTCCACAATGTAGTATTTAGAGCTTATCTTAGAACGGACCATGGAAGGGCATTGACATCTAGTCTTTAGCAATTCATACTTTCAAATTACAGGAAATCTTAAATGCGTTCTGCTGGGCTCAAGTTGTTTTTATCAAAACTTCTAGAACAAGAATGTGAATGAATAGACATCATTACAATCAATAGATAAATGGCATTTGTAGGCATCTTTGTGACACCACCAAATTTATATTTTGCTACTCCATTGATATATGTTTGTGTATTACAATTATAAACTAGAGGAACAGTGATTTTTAGCTCAACTGGTTTAGGACCACACATATATTGGTTTGATATTCTTAGCATGCTAAGCAGATGCTTTCTCAGTGGCAGAGAAAAGCGGGGGAGAAAGTAAATCTGCATGGTGAAATTAATGAATTCCACAAGACTGGAAGGCTGACATTGATTGGCAAGTTTTTGCAGGATGTAACAGATTACAAAATATTTCCTTGGGCTTAAATTATATAAAAAGTTTGCCTTTATCTGAAGATAATTCAAAGCATGATCTTTTTTATGCAAATCATTGATAGAGAATCAGATGTTTGCAAAAAAAGTAGTAGATGATAAAATTATATAAAAGTTGTCTTTTTTGCTTCAAACTCATGGCAAGGCTTGGCACATTTTTTGATTGGATACATAGTAGACCCAACAAAGCTGGCCCCTTCTAAAGATAAATAGGATGGTCTGCAGACTGTTTATAATCTAGCAATAGTTTTTCTCATCCTTGTCAAGTTTTAGTTGTTTCAAGCCCATCTTAAATCTTCAGTCTATGTATCTTAATAAGTAACTAAAGCCAGGGTCTGATTTACAAAGGTATCTTTAAGAAAACAAGGCTATTGCTGGGTTTGTGATAACGAATGCTAGGATGGTTTCTGTTTGAAAGCAGCAGCAACGACACAAATTAATTGCAGAAATTTCAGAGATAATGCAAAGGAGGTAACAAGAAATCACCATGTAATTAATGTGGTTTCAAATTAAAGTTCCCTGTAGTTACTGAAAAACATTAATTTATGGTAACTTGGTAATTTAACTTGTCACCACCACACCACAGACCTCTAGGGATAAGGACAGTTCAGGAATGCATCTAACATGAGACTGGGACCCAGTGCAGACGGGGCTACTAGCTTTAATATATTAGCTTTTGCTAATGAAATGGTGCTTTCAAGCTTCACACCTTTGTTGGTGTACAAAGTAACACGATGGTGGCTCAATGCTCATCACTAGTGCCAAAAGTAGCTTAATTCAGGGGAATGTCTTGTTCTGGGCTGCAATGGAACTGTTATAATAATACAATAGTTTTAAACCTTCCGTAAGCAAAATGGAAAGGATGTGTATTAATCCCTTAACGATTTGACTGGAAGAGTTCCATGGATGCCGATGTAACTATGTAACCTGAAAAATAAGTTGAAATGGCCCTTACAATAGGGACTCAAAATTATTCGCTGGTTGGAATACTCTAAAAATGTCTGCATAGACCTGCCTTTGAAGGCCATTCAGAAATTAGTTTGTCCCAAATGCTAATGACGAATCATCACTACAGCAACATATTCCCTGTTCTAAAGACACTACACTGATTAGTAGTAGGTTTCCAGGAACAGTTTAAACTGGTATTTTAATCTATAAAACCATATGTGATTTACAACCTAGAGAATTAAAGGATTTCCTTTTCATCATAAAGGCTGCCTTTCTGATCCACTCAGTATACATATCATCTTTTGTCTCCCAAGTCCATAAAATTGAGGGGTTACAGACCTAGAAACAGAATCTTTTATTTTAGAATAGCCTCCCTCTTGAGGTTAGATTAAGGAAGCTTTGAAGACAGTTAATCCTGGAAGACATTTGTGGAATGAAGTTGATTCAATTATGTCAATCAGGAACCTGTTTATTTTTGATGATTGGTTAAAAGGTATATATTTTGAGATGGCAGAACTAAAGTTCAGGCCTCAGCAGGCCTTCGAAGCTATGGAAAGTTTTATAAGAAATCACAAGCCCATGGGTTAAGCATATGACCAAAACCACCTTATTTATCCTGACGTTTTCCACTTTATAGTGTAAGATGCTGGTAGTTGCTTTTGATATGCAATGGTAACCAGATTCAATACAGGTTTTTGAAATGATTTTTGTCCAGAAGCTTGCTGTTAAGGATGGATTTTTCTTACAATTAGAGAATCTAAAAATGAGCTACTTGTTGATAGCACAAAGGCTCTTCTGAAAAGATCTATTGTTATCTTGAGCGCTACTGGACGGTTTTGAATTCTCTTAGTAGCTTACATAAGATCTTTATCCCAGGAACAAAGTGGAAAGTATTATGATTTGCCCTAAAGAGTTTTATTTCTGCATAACTTTCTAACAGAATTTACTTTTATTTTAGCAAAGAAAATTGATAGCTGGCAAAAAAATTTTTTTTTAATAAAATAGAAGATATACACCAAGGTAAATGGAGAGTTAAGGAGACCGTAACACTTTAGAAATGACCAAAAGGTTTTGTATTATATTGTAAAAAATCTGTGACTAAATGTAGACAGACCACACTTAACAGCACAAGACAATTAAGGTTTTAGTTGCACTTCTACATGCACAAGTGTTTCCTATGAATCCTCACTGGTAAAACATACTGCACAACATAATTGTAGCTGCAAAATCTATGTTTAATTAAATATTCTGCTGTCTTTTCAATCAGTTTACACTTTTACACTTGATATAATATACATACAACAATCTTTTTTGTTAATCCATTGGTTTCCTGATTATTATTATTTTTAATTGTATATACCAACTAGTTATCCTTACTTCGACGTCCATATGGAAAATGCAGAGATAAAAAAATGAATAGATCTGTTCCACAGAGCAATGCATAGGCCATTTCATCTTAAAAGCAGGAACAGCCAAGCACATTTAAATCTGAAATCCTTTAATATACTTTAGGATGTAAATCATGCTACAGAACTGTGGAACTCTTCTTGTTCAAAACAACCACAGGATTGCCTTGCATGACTTCCACATTTACTTAATCCAGCTGTTTTATCTCACTTTTTCTGTAAGAATTCCATTCTTCAGCATTAGGCCTAATTCCAAGACATTTTCTTGAGCTAAGCTTCTATAAACTTTTTTTTTTGCCATTCATGTAAAAAGTAATATAGCTATTCAGTTAATCAGCTCTGTCAGAATGTTAATGTTGGTTATAAGAAATTGCTTATTTCTTTAGAAAATAGAATAAAATCAGCCCTTCAAAGGGAAAAAAAAATCTGCAGTTTAAACCCACAGTTTAAATAAAATGAAATCTTTATATAAGTATAAGAAATGTTTATATAAGTATCAGTTCTTCCAGAGATGCAAGGATCTATAAAATTTCACAAAATCGTGCTGTAATATACCTGTACGTTGGCTGCTGGCTCACTCCACAATTTTAGATTTATATTTAAGGATTTTGACGTTAAGAGGATAGATATCCAAATTGCACATGGAGGTAAAAAATTAAGCAAAACTCCCATCCAATCATTATTTGTATCCAATATTATAGGCTATAGTTTAACAGTAGCAAAATGAGAGGATTGGCCCAATATTATATTAAAATTTCTTGTTAAATTTCAATTACAATGGAATGAGTAGTCATTATAAGATCATATTGTTAAATAACAACCTTTACTTACTCTTCAGCTTACAATTACAAAAGCATCACTGGAAAAAAGTAAAAATACATTTGACTACAATACTCTGCCTAGAATTCCATGATTACATCCATTAAACATTATAGGGATTGACACAAAATAACACTAATATTTTGATTCCCTGATTCTTTATGCACATTAAGCTTAAGTTTTTAACAAAACATTCTACGTATTGGTTCCCAACAAACTCTATGCTCTCTTACAAACTAGCCAATTCCTTTGTCTTAAATTAGTTAAGTGAGGATCAGTTGAATCACATCATGGTCCTTGTAATACTTCAATCCTAGGTTCTCGCTTATCAAGCATTATCAAAAATAGTTTTAAAATACCCCGTGTACCTTAGTAGAAAGATAATCGCATTGCAATGAATCCTTTTGTAGTCAAGAATTGATCCAAATTTAAAATAGAAATTGTGGGAAAACTGGAAATATGAGAGAACAAGCCCAAAGCATCAACAATCAACCATATCTCAATAAGCTTAGTATCTTTTTATTGCCTGCCATTATATTTGTCTACTAATAAAATGTTGCTATATACATTTTAAAATGTTTTAAAACATATTTGATTCTTTCAGAACATAAATATTCAATAGATATATTGAATATTTTGCTACCATTTCGCTGAATCTGTTGGAGTAGATGGATACAGTACCACAATGGTCACTTTGATACATCTAAATGCTACTACCTATTAGCTAAAATCATCATCCTAGCATATGTTTTTACAGAAGTGCACTCTTAGGACAGATGGTCCCCAAAGCAGTAGCTATACTGCTTTAAGGAAATCCATGCAGCTCAATGTTGATCTGCAAAGCAACACTGTAAAATGGTTATATCAGTTATATGCAGACTATAGGATTAGAGATACACTACAGTGGGTAGGACAGTTCAGAACTGACATCTATCCTTAAGTTACTTTCCCTAACAGCTATCAGAGGTTCTTGAGGTCCTTCTTGACTTTCTAATGCCCCTGGGCCAGGAAACATACCTGTTGCTATATATATAAGGTGTATCCCTTTTTCCTGCTGTGTGATAGCGCTGGTCAAAGACGTCTGGTGCAGAAACCAAATGTATGGAAGATGCTGTACAATTCATGAAGTAGGCTAGAATGGGGTAAACTTGACTATTATGATGAGCAAATTGTTAAGATGTGCCTGAGCACAACATCAACACTGAACACTGTAGACCTTCAACATTGTCTTTTATCGTCTTTCACAAGTTTAATTAGCCGTTCACAGTACAGGTTCTGGGTTCCTTTTAGTTTATTCCTTTAACCACCAGGAACAGAATTATTAATTCCTAAGCTTTTTGACATATTAATTACAAATCTGTTCTTATTAATTATATGCCAATAGACACTTTGTTTGGTAAACCTTACACTTTTATCAATTAAAGCTAATATTTAATTAAAGGTTCCATGCGATATGGCTTTATGTTGTTCATATAAGGAATTCCTCCTGTTCAATTTTCCATCTTTTTTACTTTTTTTCTTTGTTACTTAGACTAATGGACTTCGGAAAGTTTGGGCTTAATATCTCCTGGAATTCAACTGCTGGAAAAATCTGATGATTCTAATCTTGCAGGTTAGACTTGAATCACCACTGAGTTTCTATTCTGTGTCACTTCCCAACTGAAGTATTGTGCATAGTTATGCAAAGCAAAGATTACTGGGCAGTGGTGCCTAGTCTTAAACTCTAGGATTCCCTTTGCTGGGAGTCAGAAAACAAGTTTTGAAAAACTGATCATTGATGATAGTCCTTGGTAGTCTACTGCTTATTGCCACAAGTTTTTATTAATTACTTTTAATTGTGTTTATGTTGCTTGTAGCTTTTAGTTAAACCATTTTGTAGCATCTGTGAAAACTGAGCATAAAATCATTTTCAATGAATAAATAAAAATGTCCTCATAGCAAGACAAAGTCTTCATTGTTAAAACACGCCAACTTTTTGTGTTCTTCTTCGGAGAACATTGTCTTCTCTTCTTGGACTGGACTCACCACAAAATCGAAGTCTCTGGAATGTCCATTTACAAAAGTAAACAAGGGATATTTCTCTTTAGACAATTTCAAAATCTACAGTGAAACGTATTGGAAAAAAGAACATGAATTAGAAGACCGATGCCAAGAGTCTAAGCGTATCAGTTTGAAGCAAAACGCACAATCATTTAATGCACATCTTCCTTTCAATTTTTTTGTTTCATCTCACGTTCCTCCTCAGCAAAGTGTACACCGTAAGCCATATTTATAATGACAATGAAGTCAACAAATATTTCCCATTAAAGGCAACATTTAATTACTTCTTGGGCATGGCAAAATTGAATCAACAATATTGTGACTCATATTTACTATTCTGCATCGGCTTTGGAGGTTGCTAGAATTTTAATACGTAATTTAAATTGCATAAATGGTTTCAATATCTTATAAAACTAAATTAGTTTACAGATAAAGTGCATAAGGGATTGGTCAAATCTATATTGGAAAAATATTAACAGCAATATTAATCTGGCATATTGAAAAAAAATCGAACTATTCAAATGTTTTAGAGGGAACCAACATGCTCCAAGAAAATTGTCTGAAGTAAAATCCGATTCTATGAATTTTATTGGGCTCTGCAGTTTTAAACTTCATTCTACTCTTCTTGAATCGTATCCTCCAGATAATACAGAAGTAGTAGCAGGATTGAGGAATAAGAATAAAAAGGAGAATTGGAAAGGGAAATTTTTAAGGTGGCAGTTGATGGCAAAGGATCTCAAGGGACATGATAATTAGGTACAGACTTTTTATTGCTTGGCTACTGGATCAATTCAGCTCCCATCAATAACGAAAGTTCATGGCATTCTGATACCTGCTTGGTAGCCTGTGAAATTAGCTGGCGGCTAACCCCTCCTATTAATTGGCAGGTGTCTTATAACTTGACAGCCGCCACCTAGTAAGTGTCTCACTACTACGTTACTCTTTGATCAGGGATAGCTGCCACATTTCAGATCACTTAGCCAGACAATGTAAATTGAATTTATTCTAGCAATACATGCTATCCGAGTCACAACATGAGGCTTCTACTTTCTTCAGTTAATTACTCCATCCTATAAATATTAAGCTTAAAGAAAATGTATGGCAACTTAGGACAGTGCAACATTCAGTAGCTGTTTTTATGGAAATAATTGTACTGATATTTCATTCTCCCTATACTGATGGCTCTTAAGATACGTGGCAGTGTGTATAAACCACCGACGATGTGAAACTCATTTACCCAACAGAAAGCCCCCTGAATGGTCTCTTTTTGACATTCTCCAAACATTTGGCACATAGTTCTGATTTTCTCTGGATTAAAAATATCCAGGCTCTAACCTGGCTTTCAAAAATGAAGCAAAGAAATGTGTCCCCCAGGATGAGAACACGGTCCTAGCTGTGGCTATGATTACTTTAAAATAAACCCAGATCTGATGTTTTTGCACTTGTAGAATAATTTTTCTTTTATTAAGGCACTCCTTAATAAAATTAGACCTTTCTATCTTCCTGATCAATGGCTGGTTTCAAATACAGCTATTTTTCTCACACAGAGACGATTTTAGAATGAATCGTATGTAAAATGTTATTCTCCAACCAGAAAACTAGAAATAACATGGGAAAAAAAATCTGAGGAAAAGTAATTTTAAATATTGCTCCCTTCCAGAGAGAGAGAGAGAATTCTCATATCTGAAAGCTAGTAAGTTTGACTGCCAGTACAAACATAAGCTTTAAAGTCCCTAATTCAAATGTCATCTCAATAATGAACTTTACAGCCCTAAATAAGCCTTTTCTCTACCTCCCTATACCCTAAGAAGTTGTATTAAAAAAAGTTAAAAATAACTTTACCTGGTTTTTTTCACCTGTTTTTTAAAACATACATTTTATTCCCATCCCCAGGTTTGACAAAATACTGATTTGAATATCAAATAATTTAAAAAAGCAAGTCTGAATCGGCCTGAGATACTAAAAAGTACTCATAGTATATTATTTTGACCTTTGCAGTTTGGCTTCTTAATCCTCAAATCTAATAAATAAGTAAACATAATAGCTCTGAATTTTATAGAAGTGATACCATGTAAGCTAAAAGAAGAAAATAAAAGTACAAAATTAAGGTCCATTTAATCGTCCCAGAATTCTCTAATAGAATTGGGCAAAATAAATCATATAGGACAGCTTGAGGAAAATGAAGAGATTAGTAGATATGAAAAAGCGTGGATAAAGTGAAAATGAAATATTTTATTGCAAGAATATAGTAGCAGCTTTCTTTCCATGTCTTAAGTAAAAATATTTTAATTTTTTTTCGAATGCACTAAAACAAATGCTTATGTGGTTCTGGGAAATACTTACCCTTAACGTGTCGCTAAAACACCATGATATTTAAAGTGTAAATGTAATGAACATACTTCAACTAATGAAGTAATAATCTACAATTTATTTGATTTAATATTTCCATTTAAAATCCTCCCAGAGAAATTGATTGTCACAATATACTTCTTCAGGCTCTAATGACTGGAAAAGGGATTTTTTTTGTAGATATATTTTTGTTTAAATGCTGCCACCTGGTGGGATAAACCTCTACTTGACTGTGAGGGAGAAAGATTGAATTAAACCAGTTTTACTCATAGATTTTCTAGAACCAGAACACTCAGGATTCAGAGACTTGCAGCCCCAGGACATTTAGAGGGTACCATGTTAGGAAAGACTGTCTTATAGTATCAGAAATAATTTAACTTGGATAAAATATCTTCTACATTCATATTCTGTCATAATACAGTCACTTCAAAGTGCACTTTAAAATATAGTTAAATTTCAATAAGAGAAAGATATAATGCTCTGCAAACATATTAATTTTTGCTACAGTTACTCTGCTTGTTACTGAATCCTTTGCTTGAGACCTTTCTAACTCTTTTTTTGCAGGTTTTAACTGCAACAATTTAACAGGATCACAAGCCATTGAGACAAGGTTATTTTGGGGTAGTGGTTTGGCCGTACTATGACAGTAATTTAAGTTCTACTGGTATAATTGAAATGATAGCATAAAATACAACTGAGCAAATGGGAATTACATTGGTTTCTTCATCTAAATATTTACCTTAGTTATTTCTTCAGCAGCCCTTTCAAAACCTTGCATGTCAGGACAATATAATCCTATGGTGCAACTTGGATCCATTTTTTTAAACGACATCTTCTTTGGAGAAGGGCAGTGGAAAGACTGCAAGTGACATATAATATTTTTAAATGGTTAATAAGCATCAGAGAAGACATATGACACAAATGTCCCTGGGTGGTTAGCAAATATTTATATGCAACAGATGAAGGTTAGGCTTTCAACAGGGAAAAAAAAGTTATGCTACTTTCCGTTTGCTTCTCAAATAATATTTCAGCCACCTACAATGTGGGATTACACTGAGATGGAGGAACAGACATGCTGGCAGAATTATTCAGAGTGTATGTCTTGCTTCATTTTTCCCCACTATTCTTCCATTTATTCAGTCCCCATTTAAATGTGCAAACTTTGTTATTTTAATGCTCTCTATCAATGATAATGTACAAGATATTTAAGGCCCACTCCATATTCTCCTCTCTATGAAAGGAGATAATGGAATCTGGAGGTCTTTGGCTGAATCTCTCTGCGATTCAGATAAATCAGTAAAGGCAGTATTAAATTAGAATACTGGCCTAAAAGCACAGCAGCCAGCAAAGATTTCCTAATGGACTGGCAATCTTCCTAAAGGACATTTTGAGAAATCTTTTTGAGAAGCTATTAATTACCGTGAATTGGAAAATAGAAATTAAAAAAACAATTAGCACAATAAGAGAAACACTGCATATACAGAAATCAGTTTCTCATTGTGTAACATTACTGTTACATTATTAATATGTAGTAATAATAATTGCTACTAATTGATATGTTTTTGGATCAATCGCTTAATGTAGTGGGCGACTGAAAAATTATATTAATAACCTATACTTTCCATCTGTACAATGTACAGTTGACATAGTACCACAAGCCTGCAATAGGAAAACTAATTTGCTTCTAGAAAAATATTTGAATATTTTAGCCGCTTTGGAATTTGCTTCACTATGTGATCAAATGCTATCCCGTTTCAGAGAGATTTCTTGCACTGAAAAACAAACTAAATTAGCATTTTGTCTTCATTTCTCAAAAGGTTTAGATAGCCATTCATAACTGTGGCACAGAAGAAGCTGATTTTAAAAATATCAGACTAATTTGATATATCTCATTATGACATTCAAATTAAAAAGTAATTGTGCAATTTAATTCAATGAAGTTTTCTAGTGGAAATGTGTAAGCTTGAAAAGCTACAAATATCTGAAGGACAAACTTAAGTTGATCAAATGAGATGAGTACATTTTTTTAGTTTCAAAGAGAGAAGCAGGATTGCCCTAGAACTTAAAATTCACTGCAAAGAGTATTAGAACAGCTGGCAACATAATCAGGGACAGTTCTCCAAGGCATAGTATCAAGGAGATACATCAGCACCACTATAAAATCTAAGTGAAGTTCCACACTGCGTCTTACTTTTAAAAGCAGACCATCTCTCTATGCAAAAATTATGAAGTAGAATCAGAAGCCAATCTTGTACAATTTTCCCTGTACAAATACACCCACAAATATATACACATTTCAAAGAACACAATATATACAAGACTCTCAGTCCCATCTGTTCACGGTCTACTCCCATAGGTCAAAGATCTCTGCATAACAGAGGCCTGCACATTTAATGTATAACCTCAGCAACTACTAGTCTGGAGGCAATGAATGGAAGCAACATATAAAATCTAGCAATTAATTAATGCATCTCTATAGCTTTGTTTGGAGACTTCAGCAGGTAGTACTGCTTGCCTAGTACTTTCCAGGCTTCTGCTGAGCATCTTTGTATCTGTGAGAAAGAAACAGCTTTCCTATTAAAGTAATATTAGTATCTGAAGCATCTGACTTTGGGTTAAACATTTATGAACATATTTGTGTCAAACACCTGGGAAGACTCTCATCTCTACTGCAATGCAATTGGATATCCAACATTTGAAACTCTACTAACTGCAGCACAGTACAAACTAGCCTAGAGGAGGAAAGTCACGGGACAGAGACTGTGCTGCTAACACAACGGGCTCCTTTTAAGAGGTGGGATTCTCTCAAGTTAAAAACGTGAGCCAGGCAACCTCCCAAAATACTATGGAGGTGTATTTGATATTATATATAAAGGATCAGCATTTGACAGAGGTGGATCTTTTTTTGATGGGGGGGGTTACTCTAGATTTAACAGGAAGAGGAGGTGGAAGGGATGATTTAATAATTAGTGTTTGGTTCACCCATGAAGCAAACAGTGCTGTTCTTTATCCATCCTACCTCAAGGGGGAAATCCTTTACGCTGACATCTACAAAAGACTGGCAATAATGAGGATCCATGTAAATCAAGCTGTCATCTACAAGGGCAAAACAAAAGACAAGTAATTCAAAAAACACCATATTATTACACTGCTTACAATCCAATTTCTATGCAGAACAGGAGGTGGGGGGGGGTAAAAGTCCCCTTAGCAAGTCACTGTCTGCCAGAATATATTCATTGACTGAGGTTTTTGCAGGGCGGATTAACTTCTGCATAATCAAATATGCTTGTAGAAGCAGAATTTTGATAAAGCGATAAGACTGTAATTTAATTTTTGGAGATAAAATTACTTTTACAAACACACAATTATATATCTTGATTTTGCCTATGAAAAATGCATCGTATTTCCTCTTCGTGACAAGAAGAACATATTTCTTGTCATTTGGTCATCAATTTGCACCATTTAAACTACTAAAGGATAAATACGTAACTAGGATCTGCCAGGTAGTAAGCAAGGAAAAGGCTCAGGGAGTTTGATGGAAGAGATAAATTATGCCTTGTTTGTGCAACAAAAGAAAATTAAATATACATTTTTACAGATTCTAATTATAACGTGGGGTAAATGACAAATGACTGGACTTTGGTGGGTCTGATAAATTAATAAAGAAATCTCTGCTTTTTAATCATTTTTCTTTCTGCGGGGGCTTATAATAACTCCAAAGGTCTTGGAAAAGAGATGGAGAGGGACACACACACACACACAAACACACACACAAACATACACATACACAAACACACACACATTAAAACACTAACCTTGAAATCCAGCAAAGTAATATGACTGTTTAGGTTTGCCTCCGATAATGCCAATGCAGTAGTCGAGGCTCAAAATTCCCTGTTTTATAAGAGTAGATTAACTGAAATTTAGACTTTTATGGCAGGAGATTGCAATGTAACAAGTTTAGACCTGTGGCCTTTGATTTGAGAACAATGCAAGCTGTTTGCAAATCCCTCAGTGCACAAACATGAACTCTTTATTTTTAGCTGATAAAGAATAATGAAGTATTCAATATGCAAATGCCTATGTATAAATAGAATCTTTTACAAAAGGGAACAATAAATCCTCCATGCATAAGCTCTGGATTGCACCTTTTTAAATGCAACAGGAAATCGTAAAAAACATCCTAGGGCAGGGGTCTGCCATCTTGACAACTTTTAAGACTTGTGGACAGCATTGTCAAGATTGCAGTTCCCTGCCCTAGGGTAAGACCATAAAATAGATTTGTTAGCCCAAGAATCTGTGGAGTTCTGGCCCCTGTACTAGCTATTAATCAAAAAAGGAAGTCCATTTTATCTTTGCAGGCTATAGATGAAAAAGATCTAGCATCTGTTAAATCTAGCATCTTGTCCTTCCATTCTCCTCGTCACCATCTTCATTTCCTTGACTGTTACCCTACGGAATACTAACAAAAAAAAGAGTATGGCATTCTTACAACTTCTGTCTGCCTTATCATTCTTTTAATTCCAGACTTCCGGTTCCTAAAGAACCAAAAGATTCTTTAGATATGTGCTGTCCTGCTTTTATTTAACAGAATATGCCCATATTTTATTTTATTTTATTTTTTAAAAAAGACTAAAAATCCAAATTATTTCAGTTGGCATAATTGCTTTCTACCAACTAGCTTGACCCTTTGAAACAAATTTTATTAGAATATTAGGTTTTCCTGGTGCTTATAATTATCAAGCAAAATATGAACATATGCAAAATATGCTGTAATCGTGTGAGTGTTACAGCTTGCCTTGTCTTACATGATAGTTACTACTTGATAGAAAATGCGATAACTTCTTAGATTCTGCCAAATGGCTCCTGTTGTATTTTCCTGTTGCATCTTCAAAAGCTCATGAATAATGACATGGCTTCTTACATGAGAACGAAAGTGAAGAGTGTTTTTTTTCTTCTTCCCTGTATGTTTATTTACAATATTTAAAGCACATTCAAGAATTCTGGACAATGTACAAAAGAGTCACATCCCGATAGTAAACCCTTCCAAGGAGATTCAAAAGTCAGAAGAATGCCTGCTGACATAGCTTCTATGCTCTCTCTATCCTTAGGCTGCAACTGGCTCGAAGCATTTTTACAGGGCAAGGATAAATTATTTTTCAAATTCATTTTTAGACCTCTTTTTTCAAAGGATAAGGGGAGACGGAGTTGCAGGAGAGATAGGAAAGTCTACAAATAAACTGACAGAAGGATATGAACTACCTATATAGTAAAGAACTTAGCCTTATAGTCAGAGTAAGGCAAATAATTAAAAAGACCAGATATACTGAAAGAAGGGTACAATTCCCTATTTTTTCCACTACCAATAGTTTTCTAACTTAATTTGCCCTCTATCCCCAAATGTTTGGCTCAAGAAGCAAAACACTTTGCCAAACCTCTAATACGAATCTGTGTAACTACTAAATGCACACAGTGGTCTTTATCCTTCAATAAATCCAAAATCTAGAACTAGATAACGGAAACATTAGTTTCAGAGATGGCCCATTGCTGATGTTACTGGAAGTAATAATTTTTACATTTTATGAAAAAAAAAAAGTTGGAAGCTATCTGATCTCTGAAGGAATCACCCAAAAGTGTGAAGCAAGTTCAGTTTTTATGGTGAACTCTGTAGCAGGAAGATAGCTATTTAGGGTCTGGAATTTATTTATTTATTTATTTTTGAGACTTATATACCGCTTTAAGTTCAAGCACTCTCTACGCGGTGTACACCAGTAAGCAATGTATATATATATATTTACATTGCCCCCAACAATCTGGGTCCTCATTTTACCTACCCCGGAAGGATGGAAGGCTGAGTCAACCTTGAGCTGGTGAGATTTGAACCGCTGACCTGCTGAACACAGTCAGCTAAAGTGGCCTGCAGTACTGCACCCTAACTGCTGCGCCACCTCAGCTCATGATAGCTGTACTAGTTTTACTTTTAATACTTAGGATTTTCAATCATGACCGTATACTGAAATTTCAATTATTAATAGGTTAATTACCATTTTCAATCTTCTTGCCATTTAATGTCCCACTCTGAAAAGTGACTGACTCATTTCATACCTTCACAAACTCAAAGTATTCCATATTGGTCCGTTCACCACCAAGCCTGACAGGAATTAATATAATAATAGATTTGACACTTGTCTTTTCAGAATCCGTGAAAGGGCAGAGAGCATCAATAACATCAGACTTGTAAACTTGAAAGAGAAACAAAAGTAAGCAAGCTTTATTGAAATGCATTTTAAGTGCAAACCAAGTTGTTTTGTCAAGAATATCAAAACATCTTTTAGGATAAATTTATAGGCAGAAAAAACATCTTATTGTTTCACTTTATTGGTGTGCACCGATGTGTAAAAATGCAACAAATGCCACCAACTGGTGATGGCTTTAGCAGAGGCCTGCACTATGCGTATGTGTGTTAAGACTGACAAGATGGCAGATGAATGTTGCTATACAAGCCTATTCCTCTTGTACTTGCATGCAACTTCAACCCACAAACAAAAGAGACGGGGTTGTTTGATTTGTAACAAAAAAATCTTGCTGACTTTGGCCCCCAACCCACATTCTTTGCAGATACTGCTGGGATTCTGCATTAAACATTTCATCTCTAAAATTGCCAGCGTAATTATTGTATGTAGGCAAGACACGAGATTAAAAAAAAACATATTACAAGAAAAAAGAACGAGTCCAAAACAGAGCCAATGAGTTTAGAAGACAATTTTATGGCAGATTTTAAAGAAATCGAGAGCATGCACAATCAGAATATGCATCCATATTCTTTCAGTCACATTTCTTTTTCAAATATTATTAAAAAAAACTTAGAAGTCCATGCAGCAATTATCATTGTTTAGGATTCTTAAGCCCTGCGACATGTTGCCTTGTTTCCAGACATTGGGCTAATGCTAACCCAATGGTCTGCGCCTCCTTCAGAAGGCAAAAAGAAATATTAAATTCTAGGAATCCCCTTGTAATTCACAGATGTCATAAAGGATAGTTAATACTCCATAAGATCTGTAGGTGACACAGTGTAGTTTGTTCACTAGGAGTTCAGGCATAGCTCTGTTTTGAGCTAAAGTCAGTGCCCTCGGGGCACTATAAACTCACTGTTGGTGTTCATGCAACATCCCACATTCCACCCAGTTAAATGATTAATGTTGTCCTAATGTACTTTACTTTCCTAAGTAAAATAGCAAAAGATTTGCTAGCTTTTTCAGTCAAACACTGAAGTGACCATAAGTTCCTGCTGAATTTATTTAAAGAGTTTTAATATGTTTTGAATAGAAAATTCTGTCAGATGTAATTTTGTAATGGCTTGATACAGAAAACTGTAAATTAATTATATACTTTTCCCTTCGTAGTCTAGGCCATATACAAGTCTACAAGAGTATAAGTTTGTAATTGCAAGAATATAATTCTTTAAGAATTATATAAGATGGAACACTCCCAGTCTAGTTTTAAAAGACAGCCTTACACCAGGAGAAGCTACTCATCTGAGCTAAGAAATTTTGATTCTAGTATTACATTTTTAGGCTCTCAATGAAAGTTTGGGAAATATTTTGAAGAATGATCAAGTACATAATACACTTTCTCTTACCCGTACAGTCTTGAGCAACATAGATGGTTATTCCTTGTAATTCTGGGTCCCTTGCTTTTTCAACTGCTTTCCTAAAAGTATACACAACAGACACATTTCAGGTAAGCCGCAAAAAGAATTAAAGCTACACAGTCCTCAGGAAATGTTTTTTAGAAAAAGTCACAAAAGTTTGAAAAGCCAGCTTTAAAAGATTACAAATGTAAACAGATGTGATTTAGACCACTGTTGGCGAACCTACGGCACGCGTGCCAGAGGCGGCACTCAGAGCCCTCTCTGTGGGCACGCACGCCATTGCCCCAGCAGAGTTTGCCAGAGTAGCAAGCACGTGGCGTTTGGAAGCAACAGGGTAGGAAGTAAGTGAGCAAGCGTTGTTGGCGCCCCGGGGATGCCCCAGAGATGGCGAGGAACTGGCCCTGGCCACCCTCACCCAGACTGCCATGACCACTGCAGCCACACCCACCCAATGGGCCACACACCCCCTCCCCCGAGGGCACTATAATGCTGATACAACCCTGGCATTTTGTGATAAATAAGTGGGTTTTAGGTTGCAGTTTGGGCACTCAGTCTCTAAAAGGTTCGCCCTCACTGATTTAGACTGTAAAATGTGATAAAAGAAAACGGGGTGTTTTTTTTTTTTAAAAAAAAGGCCAATACATTATTAGATTTATCATGCTGCATCCATATATGTACAAAAAAACAAAAAGTGGACATATATACGTACATACATATACTACAGACATAAGAGCAAAGATAGTCAATTCCAAGGTAAAAATCTAAACATACAACCTGTTTCCATAAATGGATTTATGATTTTAACAGCTTCCATGTCACTATGCATAGGTTTGTTATACTATTTGCTATAACAAACAATTCCAAAGAAGCACTAGTTTTTATTTTTAACTTTAAGGTTGAAGAGGGAAAGAACAGACCTTCAGTGAAAAAATGGCCAATGAAATTGTGTCCAAAAGCATATGACAACTGAATATGTACATTATCAACCAACATTGTAGGAGAACAGTTAACTAATTTCTGTGCTAATTTCATTAGTTACTTTTACAATGTAACAAGCTACATAAATAACTTCAACTCTTAGACATTACATTATTTTACCAAAATTTCATTCAAGGAGACTGTTCTTGCTATACAAAACCATTCACACCCTGCATTTTCACAGATATTTAAAATTACATCTGGATTTTAGATTCTTGTCATTAGATGATTGTGTAAAATTGAAAAACATAAAACTATAAAAATAAAAATGTTGTCCAAAACAATGGCATATAATCACAATCTGTACTCAAAAATTTGACTTTCATATAAAAAGACTAGGCTGAATGTCGGACCCTTTTATTTTTTATTTAGATGTAATTATTACTAATCCTATATATTTAACATCTCATGAGAATATATTGATATGTTTGAAAGTATCAGTTTAATCTGACAGTTCATTACACTATCAGTATATTAAAACAGGAAGTCTACAACGTAGGTATATTTCAAGGTTAAAAGAGGTGCTAGTTTTTATAACACATCATTAAAAATACTGTAGTTAAAGGCTACGTTTGTAATGCATACTTTCATGTTTCTGCGACATTTTTTCATCTCAAATTATAGATAATCAGGACACATTGTTAAAGGTCTATTTTTTTAAAACCAAATTTGTTCTGTCCAGAGTTTTGTTTTTACCTCAAAAGGTGCGCTACCACTGCTGGCCCATACCAGTCTCCAGCTATTTTTCCAGACTTCTTTCCATATTCTATCAGCCGATGCAAGCCAAAATTGGCAAATGGTGAATCAGCAAACCAAGAGATAATTCTTCGGTGATACTGCTCCTCCACACTTTCTTCAGTTTCCTGGTTGCGTATTGGACTTTTAGGATGAGTGGACTGGCTCCTGAATTCTCTTTCTCCTATAAGTGATGTTTCAAGAGATGCTGTGAGCTTTTTTACTGTCTGACTTGTCCATGATTCAGACTCTGGATTCTCAAAGACAAAGGCATTGGCCCAAGTCCAATCTGTGATAGGATTAAAAATATATTATAGCTTAGTGAAAGTTAGTTTGTTCTGACATTAACTTATTTAAGAAGATTTCTACCTCTTTGTTGTCCTGTTTCATATTAAATATTTAAAGTTAGTTATTCCATGAACAAAAGCTACATATGGATAATTTAGCTACAATAAGTGTTTCAATGAAATTAAATGTATAAATGTACAATAATATGGAGCTTAAGTCAGCAATGTAACAACAGCCACAAAACACCCATTCAAGAGAAAAAAATTATGGTAATTATTGTCAAATATTTTATCCTTATCATTTAATATTAACCAAGACAGTTAGCATTATATCTATGAGATAGTACTAAGATTTAACTGAAGTTAAATAGTTTATACTTAAATTCTTTCAGAGTCCTGGTTAGAAACTCTGATATGAGAAGCCTCTTCAACTGTTTATCGAGAACAAACACTTTTTTTCACACAAATCTTGGTAACTTACCTCTACCAAGAAAATGGAGAATAAGTCCTTGAGCCAGAAGCATTTGGCCAGTTCTCAAAGTACAGCCCCAGCCACAGTCTGTGGTTAAAACTGAACCCGTAATTTGGGGAAATTCTTCCCTGTAAGTCAACCATATTCTAGAAATAAAGTCTTTACGGAACTCTTCGACATTTCTTGAAAAGCTTTCATCTGTCATGTCATCACAGGAACCATTTGGTGACTGGTCACTGGGCTCTGTAAGAGGGACATCACGCATACATGTTGTAAAAAAATCAAAACATGGAACACATTATCCCCAGTTTACTAACATTGTACATCCTATTGTCAGAAAAGGTCATTTTCTATAAATGTAAATGAAAATAGCATTTACAGATGCAGCCACTGGAAGAATGATAAAACAAACAGTTTTCAGTAAACAGCAAGGACATGCTATTTTAGCAGAGTTCAAGGATCTTATTAAAAGTTTCTATATTCTTCTCTTCATAAGATAAATAAGATTCAGACAAAGCACTACTTTGAGTTGATTATAAAAGCTGTCTTAACCTTACAATACTTTCTTGGGAAAGAACTGTCAAAACAGCAACAGTCTTTTTTTCCTTCTCAGAACAGATTCAGAGATCACCTTAAGGCAGTGTTTCCCAAACTTGACAATTTTAAGGCATGAGGACTTCAACTCCCAGAATTCCACAGCCAGCAACGCTGGCTGTGGAATTCTGGGAGTTGAAGTCCTCATGCCTTAAAATTGTCAAGTTTGGGAAACACTGCCTTAAGGAGTTGTGTATGCTTCCAACTTCTTTTGCAGTTTTTCCCCCCCCCCTCAAGAGGTATGCATATATCTGAACTGATCTAATACTCGAGTATTTTCAGAAGCTCCCACAAAAAGGAAATGCAAGGTTTGGTTACATAAATGTAAGAACAAAAACCAGCAGCCACCTGGATTTAAAATTAGGTACACATACCATCACTCTTGAAATGGTAGCATTTTCCCAGCAAAAAGACAGGAGAATTTCTGCTAAAGTAAGTTTTAGTTTTCAATACCCAACCTACAAATAAAGACAAACATAGATTTTTTTTAAAGCTGCTCCATCTAGATCAAGTAAAAAAAATGATCAAGGAAATTAAAAATAGTAACTTTCCATTTTAATCTGAAACATTCTGGCATCTTTTAAAGATGGGAGAGAAGGAAGGTGTGGCTTAGTTTTCAAAATATCATAATTAAGCCTCAAACCAATTTAATTCTCTAAACAAATATTTATTTATTTCATTCTCTAAATCAGAGTTTCTCTTTAAAAAAATTAAGTTTAAGAAATGTTAATTGTAATTTTTTAAGTATGTGTATGTATATGTATGTGTGTGTGTGTGTGTATTTATTCAAGAACATTGGTAAAAATGCGACTCCCTGGCATAATTATGAATAAAAGAATAAAACACGATCACCAAGAGGGTAAGAATACTTTACTAAAAAAATACTTATACTAAAAAGTTGCCAAGCTTTCGCTGGGGGAACTCTCAGCATCGTCAGGGCTAAAAGGCCATTACAATAAAGGTGGTTTAAGTAGGTTCAAGTAACGTTTGCGCACGGCTCCTAGACCCTGTTACTGGCCCTGATTGGCCAGCTGATAACCAAGATGTGTCTATAACGTTATGTTCTTTTCTCTGGATGCCCTTCCCTATCCCTCCACTATTGGTCTTTGGAGGCGTTAGTAACCTTGCATCCCCTCCTCTTCCGATAATACCAACGCCTGCCGTATCGGGGGAAGGGTTTGTTCTGATGTTTTCTTGTGTCTTATAATGGGAATAGTGGAACGTCTTATAAACCCCAACGGGTATCCATTCAGTCGAAAGGTGCAGTACAGATGTCTTCTTTCCTCCACTCTAAATTCCACCGTGCTGCAGTGCGAGTGCACACGCCTAAACAGCGTTTTGATGCAGCCAACTTTATGGGATACTGGATGGTTGCTGTTATAGTGGAGGATTCGATCCGTATGGGTGGGCTTGCGATAGACTTTCGTGCTTACAGAGCCATCCAATGAGCGCTGGACTAGCACATCCAAGAAGGCTATCGAGCCCCGATTCTCCTCCTCCATCGTAAACTTAATGTCCGGATAAACTGAGTTCAGTATTCCCATAAAGTTGGCTTTATAGCATCGTTTAACGACGACAAAAGTGTCGTCCACATACCAGGCCCAAAGCTTGGGCCAGTATTGGGCCATAGCCTCATGCTCCAATTGTTGGAGGACCGCCTCTGCTATCATACTGGATATAGGGGAGCCCATGGGCGTGCCTTTTAACTGTTCATATGTGACACCTTGAAAGGTAAAATACATGGTCAAACACAGGTCTATAAGCTCCAATAAGTTTCCCACTCGCAGGGCGTCCCGGCACTGGATCCCCTCTCGTGCCTCCAACTGTTCTCTAAGAACAGCCATCACAAGACCCTCAGGGATGGAGGTGAAGAGTGAGGTGACGTCGAACGACACCATCACCTCATCCTCCTCCACCCTAAGGGTTTTGATTTTATTGAGAAACTCCTCTGCAGATTTAACTATAGTGGGACTATCCTCCACCAGGTAGGAGATACGATCACTGAGCCACTTTGCCAACCCCAAAATGGGCGTGCCCCTAAAGGAGACAATAGGGCGAAGTGGCATACCTTCCTTATGAATCTTAGGAAGTCCATAAAACCTGGGGAGAGCTGAGTCATTAGGGCGCATTTTCCTTAAGGCGTCCTCATCTACCCTCTTGGCACGTTTAAAGCTGTTCAATAACTTGTTGATCTTGTTCCACATAGACACCATGGGATCCCCCTTAACCACCCTATAGGCCGTTGTGTCATCAAGCAGTTCTAATGCCTTGGTCACGTACAGTAACCTATCCATTACTACCTGGCCCAGCCTTTATCAGCTGGTAACACAACTATAGAGTCATCCTTTCTAAGTTGTTCTAGGGCCTCTATCTCCTCCCTGGATAGGGTCTGATAACGTCTATGATGCATAAGTAATCCAGTGACCTGCTGTTTTATAGAGTTTCTAGAATCCTCCCCTATACCCCCGTGATACATGGCGGGTTCTAGTGCCGCTATAAAGTCCAACAAATGTGCGTCCATGAGGTTATGCCCTACATCACGCTGCAGTAGGATGAGTTGGGAGTGTGTTAGTCTTTTTGAGGACAACTCGCTACTTTTCAACTCACGTAGGGCATTTATCTTGTTTTGAAGTCGTATGTTGGTTTGTCGACTAGTTCTCTCAGCTACAGACCGAATATGCTGGTTAAGTACCTGAAAATGTTGTTCCGATAAATCCAGGCCACATTGCTCGCGGTGATGCCGGGCCCACCTCTTGAGGGTCTCCGCACGTCTGTGCTGGTCATTGATGAGCGCCCATACTGTACGGCGCTGGTATTGCCGGAGTGCCTGTTGGCATTCCACTGAGTCCAGCACGGGCCTCCTTCTCAACAATTTAGGTGGTAAATCCTCCCGTATGCATGTATGCAAGAAGGTCAATTTCCGATAACAAGCTGAGATGCGGCATGTAAGCTTCTCCCAGCGCCTAGCTAAAAGCAATACTGCTCTGTCATACTGATTAGCTATATGACTAAAAACTCGACTCTTGGGTATGTCCATAATAAAATTCAATAAATATCGATCACCAAGAGAGAAAATAGCAAAAAATTTAATGAACCAAGCTTTCGTCGGGGACACCCGACATCGTCAGGGTTTAAAAGTAGTCACTGGGAAGCATTATATAGGGTGTTAGCTGCCTGCATCCGGCTTCTAGAACGCATCATCGGGCCTAGCTGATCGTGTCGTGTCCTGAGTACATCACCTACATCAACGCGTGGTTCTTTCCCATGCCTTCTCTGTACTTTGCTGTGAGTGTTTTCCTCATTGGCAATGGGGCTGAACGGGGTTCTTTTCACTTTGCTAACCGATGGTAATTGTTTCCCCCCCCCAGCTTCCTGCGTACAGTGTCCTTCATTAGGGGGATGCAATTCTCCCTTAACCTCAACCTGCGCATCACCGCTACCCTGATCGAACCCCTTTGCCCTCTGTGATCGCAACTGGTGCACTCTGCTCCTTACGCTCTAACTGTTGGAGCACTGCCTCTGCTATAATGCTGGAGATGGGGGAGCCCATGGGTGTTCCTTTGACCTGTTCGAATATGACACCCTGGAAAGTGAAGTAAGTCGTTAGGCATACCTCCACAAGTCTCACGAGATCTTCAGTTTGCAGGGAGTCCTGGTATTGACCACCCTTCCTATTTGTCCACTGGTCTCTCAGAAAAGAGACCGCTAGGTCCTGGGGGATGGAGGTGAAGAGTGAGGTAACATCAAATGATACCATCATCTCATCCTCCTCCACCCTGAGGGTCTTGATCTTCCCCAGAAACTCCTCCGCTGATTTAACCGTGGTCAGACTGCCATCCACAAGGTAGCAAATATGACTACTAAGCCACTTCGCCCGCCCTGAAGTTGGCATACCTCTAAATGAAACAATAGGGCGAAGGGGAATGCCTTCCTTGTGGATTTTTGGTAGCCCATAGAACCTTGCTAGTGCCGTGTTGCATGGGTGTACTTTCTTTAGGGTGTCATCACTCATCTTTTTGCTGCGGTTGAAGTTATCCAGCAGTTTATTAACCTTGTTCTTAAGCATCACCGTGGGGTCTTTCCTGATCATTCTATATGTGTTCTATCGTTAAGCAGCTCTAGTGCTTTAGCTGTATAAAGCGTCTTATCCATGACTACCGTCACTCTTCCCTTATCCGCGGGGAGTATAATGATGGTATCATCCCTCTTAAGCTGCCCTAGGGCCTCCATTTCCTCTTTAGATTATGTGTGATAGTGTCTATGACTCATAAGTAATCCGGTGACCTGTTGTCTTATGGAGTTCTTAACGTCCTCATCCGTCCCCATGCAATACATAGCGGGCTCTAATGCTGCTATAAAGTCTAGGGCATGTGCATCCATGAGGTTGTAACCCGTATCGCGCTGCAGCAGGGTGAGTTGTGGGTGGGTTAATGTTTTGGAGGAAAGGTTACAAACCAATCTGTCCATAAAGCTATTTCTCGACTCACGTAATATGTCCATTTTACGTCGGAGGCGCGTCGCCATTTCCTGGCTTGTTCTCCTTGCTCCCAACCGAATATGATGGCTTAGTGCCTGGAAATGATATTCTGACAGGGTCGTGTTGCATTGTCCACGGTGGTCCTGGGCCCATGCCTTTAGAGTTTCCACGCGTCTATGCTGGTCGTTAATGAGAGCGCGCACTGTCCGGCGTTGAAACTGATGGACCGCTTATTGGCACTCAACGGAGTCAACTGCAGTCCTCCTTCTTAGTGACTTAGGAGGCAAGTTCTCTCAGATGCAAGTGTGTAAAAACGTCATTTTGCGGTAGCAAGCCGAGATGCGATGCATTAGTTTTTCCCATCTTCTGGCTGCGAGCAATACTGCTCTATCATAGTGATTAGAAATGTCTGTAAAAATGTGACTCCTTGGTATATTCATATCATAAAATAAATAACTCACAATTATCAGGAGAATCCAAATAGGGAAAAAAAGTAATAAAACCAAGCTTTCATCGGAAACTTCCGACATCGTCAGGGTTATAGCCAATTAACAGAAACGCCTTAAATAAGATTAACTAACGTTTGCGCCCGGCTCCTAGACTGCGTCATCGGTCCCAGCCGGTTAGATTGTATTCTAATCGTTTCTTTTGACGTCTGCATCCAGCTCTTTTCTATCTCTCCTTTGAACATTCTTACTTGCTTTCACATAGCTGGATCCTAGGTTTGTTAAAACCCTTTCATCCTCCTCCCCTTTGATGACGCTTATCTCCGTACTGCCCTCATTCTTCTTCACCCAATTCTCCTTACTATGGGTCTTGGGGGGTGGGCTATTTGATCTTCCTTTGATGTTACCATGTGCTCCATTAGAACCCCAAGTATTTCCTCCGCTCTCGATATTATTGGTATTATACCAATAATACCAGTAAAAACATGATTCCTGGGTATATTCATATCACAAAGACTTAAACAAAACACAAGCACCAGGAAGAATTCAATACTAGAAAAAATTTAATAAATACCGAGCTTTCGTTGGAAACTACCAACATCGTCAGGGTTCAATGCTAGTCAATGTGAGAAACCTATATAGGATTAATCAGCGCTTGCATCCAGCTCCTGGACCTCATTAGTGGTCCCAGCTGATTGGGCTGTATTCTAGAAGTATCCACAGCACCAATATCCACCCTCTTCCTGCTTCCCTTTCTTGCACATGCATCACTACCCATCCCCTTATCACAAGTTCTTAGGTTAAGCGGAACCTTTCCCCTTTTTTGGGTAATCATTACCTCCGTGTCTCCCCTATTCCCCCTTACATTGTTCTCCTCACCAGGGGTTCCTGAATACCTCTTGCTCATTCCTCCCTTTCTCCTATTGCACATCTCGTTCTGACTCCGATCAGCTTCTCCCACCCCATTTGGCTGTAAATTGGACATTTCTTACCCAAAAAAAGGGGGGGAAAGATTCTGCTTAACCTAAGAACTTGTGATGAGGGGATGGGTAGTGATGCATGTGCAAGAAAGGGAAGCAGGAAGAGGGTGGATATTGATGCTGTGGATACTTCCAAAATACAGCCCAATCAGCTGTGACCAGTAACGAGGTCCAGGAGCTGGATGCAAGCGCTGATTAATCCTATATAGGTTTCTCACATTGACTAGCACTGAACCCTGACGATGTTGGTAGTTTCCAACGAAAGCTTGGTATTTATTAAATTTTTTCTAGTATTGAATTCTTCCTGGTACTCGTGTTTTGTTTAAATCTTTGTGATATATATATATATATATATATAAACAACCGTACATAAAAACCATATAAGTGTCTAATAAAAAAAATCCCCCCCTCGATGCTCACTGTCAACATAATAGCCACAGAATTAAAACTCTGCCCCTTTTTATATGCTTCATGGAAGCAGGGTGTTGAGTGTATGAGTATAGGCACCATCTTGATTATTATTTTTTTACCTGTGCCCCTGTCTCAATTACACTAAAGCATCAGCTAGAAACAAGGTATCATTTATTATTAGACAGGTCAATGATATAGGACAGGGATAGGCAACCTTGGCTCTTTTATGACTCGTAGACATCAACTCCCAGAATTCCTGACCCAGCATAACTCAGCTTGGAAATCTCTCCTTTTCCCCTCAGTATGGCTGGCTCAGGAATTCTGGGAGTTGAAATCCACGATTCACAAAAGAGCCAAGGTTGCCTACCCCTGATGTAGGAGAAGAATCAGGAGTTTGCAACAAACCACCCTTCCCTCCACAACTCAACTCTCAAAAACTGCTGACCAACATTTGTTCATCTCGGATGGTACAGATGAAAGACTGCAATAAGCATTCTTCCACCGCCCGGAGAACCCAGCGGCAGCATCATCTTTTCTTTGAAGATTGTAGAGGCGCTGGATGATAGTATAATTCACCCTAGAGGCATCATATTGATTTTTTTTTACCCCATGCCCATCTCAATTACTCTAAAGAAATGACTAAGGCACCAGACTAGAAACTAGGAGACTGAATTGTAATCCTGCCTTAGGCATGGAAAACCAATGGGATGACTTTGGGCCATCAGTCTCTCTCAGCACAACTCACCCTCACAGGGTTGTTATTTGGGGAAAGGAGGAGGAAGGAGTATGTTTGCTGCCTTGAGTGCTTTACAAAAATAATAAAAGCAAGATAAAAATAGACAAACAAATAACATTTCATCATGGAGGGGAAAGGACCAATGGGGATAGGTGGGAAATCTTTAAAAAGAGAGAGGGGGGGGAGAAATTAAAAGAGTGAATAGATTAAAAAGCCTGTTGGGTGGAAAACCTGCAATTGAGCCACTAAACAAAAATAATCAACCCACACAAAAACACCATTAACAAATATCAGATAGTTGGAGTGTCAAGGTCATATTTTGTTGTTTTTATTTCTTTGTTATGATTTATAAGAACATAGAGAATTGTCTGGTCTCGCCTCTTCTTCAATACAAAGCTAATTCAAAGGCTGAAAGTTGACGAATTTCATTAAAACAACTTTTATAGTCAGGCATAAAAGATTTATTTCAGGAGTAAATAGTCACCTTTTTGTAACAGTCCAATATTTCAAAAGTTCTTTATGAATCCAGACATTTCAAATTTCTAGTACATAATTTACTAATTTACTGATAATTTTGTCTTGTAAATGCCTGCCAACTTCCTGGTTCATTATAATAACTTCTAACTAAAAAAGAATTACAAAACATACCCATAACATGACTAGCTAACTTCCTTCAAATTTATTGCATCTTTGACATTGAAAACCTGACAGCCATCCTTTAAAAACATTCCTGGATTATGTATTTATTTATTAAATTCACATGTTGCCCATCTTGCATCAAGCAACTCTTAATGTCCAATAAACCCCAAAAATATTTTTTTTTTGCTAAAGTCATTCACTGCTCAAAGTAGGATTCTCCAGTTCTACACTCCATTTTTAAAAATATATTATCCACATTTATTTTTGTAATGTTTAAAATTTATGCCACTAATAAATTGTTGGTTTAATGAGGAATACACACCGAAACCAATGTGCTGCAGCCAGCAATTGCAAAAGCACTGTGCAGTCTGGTGTATTCCCCATTGTATGCCTGCTTACTCTCTTATTATCCCTTCCTTTCCAATCTTTCTCCTTTGCAACAGGGGAAAGAAAAACTTCAGGTCAGACAGAGGACAATGTATACTCACTGTAATGGAAAGCATGTGAGTAAGGGATACTGCAAAGGTTGTAAATGCAGGGATTGGCCATACTTATTTTTTTCAGCATGGCATCTTCAAATGGTTGCTAAGTTAGTAAGGAAGTTAGTAAACAAGGAAAATATGAAGCTGGTTAAGAGTATCTATGTTTTTCTAAAGACGAGTATTACTACTATGCTTGAATAGGAAATACTTCAAAGTGTTGGATCAAGGAATTCAGACAATTAGGCAGTTAATAATAGCCTAATCAAAGAATTACAAAGGAGAAAGCATATCCACCAACACTGACAAGACAAGCTACAAGGAGCAAACTCCACTCCCTTCTAGCATCAAAGATGTTGTCTAGCTGGATAATGAAACTACTGCAAGAAAACAACCAAATTCAGAGAGCACCAAAGACTTCACCAGTTCAACCCTAAGCTATAAATATTCTCTTAAATTAGTACCCAAGTGTTAATTTCTTATGAGAACAAGAATCAAATTTAATTTTTCCACCTAATGAATATTGTGTGAACATAAAAATAGCCTTCAAAAATAGCCAAATTCCTGTTATGATTAGAACTAAGAACGTGTCAGGATTGTAAGAGTGCAAAGTAGTAATCCTCACGATGGTAAATAATCAGTAAAAGCCCTAAAGGCTACATCTGATTCTGAAAACTTTAGATGTAGCTTATAGAGATTTTCCAAATTAACTTTTTATTGCAACTACTAAATATATGGGGACTAATCATATTTATTATAGTATGATTGCAGTTACATTTTTATTTCAATCCAGGTTTCTTTTTCATTCTGATTTTACCTATATTTATAATAATAATAATAATAGTAGTAAAGTTGGAAGGGACCTTGGAGGTCATCTAGTCCAACCCCCTGCTCGGGCAGGAAACCCTACACCATTTCGGACAAGTGGCTGTCCAGTCTCTTCTTAAAAACTTCCAGTGTTGGAGCATTTACTGCTTCTGGAGGCAAGCTGTTCCACTGATTAATTGTTCTCACTGTCAGGAAGTTTCTCCTTAGTTCTAGGTTGCTTCTCTCCTTGATTAGTTTCCACCCGTTGCTTCTTGTCCTGCCTTCAGGTGCTTTGGAAAATAGCTTAATTCCCTCTTCTTTATGGCAGCCCCTGAGATATTGGAATACTGCTATCATGTCCCCCCTTGTCCTTCTCTTCGTTAAACTAGACATACCCAATTCTAGCAACCGTTCCTTATATGTTTTAGCCTCCAGTCCCCTAATCCTCTTTGTTGCTCTTCTCTGTACTCTTTCTAGAGTCTCAACATCTTTTTTACATCGTGGTGACCAAAACTGGATGCAGTATTCCAAGTGTGGCCTTACCAAGGCATTAAAGAGTGGTATTAATACTTCACGTGATTCTATCCCTCTGTTAATGCAGCCTAGCACTGTATTTTGCATAATACCAACTGCTGAATGACTGTCCTGAGAAATCTGTGCTTTCTAACTGATTTTATGTCATGCTTGGCAACCATTTTGTGAAGGCATCCACAATTTGTTCCAAAATTTCAAACATATTCACCATCCTCTAAAGGTGGGGATTCCTGCTCTACACTAGCTCCTAGAGTTAATTTCAATACGACACTAAACTGTAACTAAGTAAAAGCAGAACTGAAATATTTTAGTCACATGGCTGTTTGTGAGTTCATTCAAACTTAAATCATGAAACTGACTATTTTTCTCCCTCATTATCTCTTCTGAACAAATTCCCTTTCCTTCTCTTGTTGATGTGTTTCACCTGAACTGGCACCAATAACCTTAACCAGAGTTAGCATATTTCAGTCATTTGAGTAAATATACTATTGGTCAGCAAAAGCTAGCCTGCATTATTTTGCTAACTTTTTAAGTAAGACTTAAAAAGTCTTATTACATTTCACTTACCATATTTCATATTATGCCATGCAGATATAAACTTTGATTTTATTTTCTCTACTTCATCTGTTCCAGTAGCCTCCATATTCAGATTCATGAAGAATAGCCATCACTACCTGAGGACCTTAATGATTTTGTTCCTGCAAAAGGAAAGGAGTAAGACCAGAACTGGATGCTTGCATTAGGTACTTACATCCATTATGACCAGGAAGGGAAATAAAATCTCAAGAACATCCATTTGCATAGAGAAAAGCAATTGTAAGTTCTATGAATAAATAATAAAAAGCATTTGATTCCAAATATACAACAGTAAAATTATCACGCAAAGCTAAATAAAACATAATGTCCTCCAACTGCTCTCTACCCCACAATAAACTATCCAGTGTGCATGTATGTGTGGTTGTGCAACTGAGATCACCTAAAAGCTAATTGGAAGGCAGAGGAAAATATTTGAATTGCTGTACAAGGGACACCGTTTTATATTATGCCTATTCAGTTCACAGCAAAACTCAAGGCTTATCAATATTAATGCTCTATTTTAAAAAGTTGGGTTCTATCCCAATCCAAATTGCATGAAGCAGGTTGAGATGCAAATAAAAAGAATGTGCCTAAAAGAAGTATGAAACACAAAGAAAGAGATGGAAACATAAACATTTTGTTCTGCAAGACTAACCCTAAACAACTTTAAGAGAATGAAAATTACCACACATCCAGATATGTTATTCAATGTATCGGGATTAGCTTTTCTACTTTGCTAAGTTATCTTTCACTCCAACTATTTACCAAACTGATATGACTTTTCCTAAAGACTGGTCCTTTTGCTGAGGCATAAGAAGTGTCTCTTACTCAAAACCATGTGGCATGAAAGCCATAAAGTGCATCAGCATCTTTAAAAAAAAGTTGTGGGGGGAGGATTGACTTTTGTATATTCGTAGTTTTGTTGTGTTACTAGCAGGCAACCACTTATCTCTCTGCTGAGGTTCTTTTATTGCCTTTTTCACATCTGTCAAGACATCCACTTGATCGCTGGTCTGCAAATCAGTAGCCTGAGAAACTGTTCCTGTTTATTTTCAGAGGTGAAATAAATTCATGTACCCTTAAGTGATCTTGTGGAGAAATTTTCCTCTTCCCTACTGATTTAAATATGTTTTCAGTTCTATTAACTTTATTGTAGAAAATGTTACAGGATTAATACCTGATTTCATCATTCCTTAGACGGGTTTCAAGCGTAATGTTTCCAGTTGTGCAAAATGGAGAATTCTTAATAAGCCTTGAATAACAAAAGTCCTCACTTCTCGTATTTGCTGGATCAGATTCCTCAGCTAAACTGTCTAGTGTCCAAATCTCGAATTGGAGAAAGTAATCTAAGAACATTGGAGAAAGTAATCATCATGTTTTACTTATTTGATTACTAGATTTTTATACCAATTTGCTAATAAATGGGATTTGCACTTACAAAATAATAATCCAATTAAAATTAGAAATAGAACTAACATACTTTAATATATAATACAATATTAAAAATCATGTGATCTAAACCATAATTCAAGTAATTCAAAGATTATGTTAGAGAAAAGAGATGAATTCCGCAATTTTGGAATGAAACAAAAAACGGCCATTTCTAGCATGCCCCAGTAACCCCTATATTTAGAAGAACCTGATTTGCAAAGTTTTATATCTAGACTTGTTCATAATGATCTAGAACAGATGGTCTATTAAGTAACCTGGCAAGTCATTAGGAGTGTAAAAATTTGAAGTTAAAATCATGAGTTGATTCAAATGGCACTGAGTATCTTCCCCCCACACACAGACATTGAGTCTAGTAGGGATACAGCCCCCTGGATGAACCTATTTGTTTGTATGCTGCTCCTTTGGATATTTGAGTATTTTGTAGTTAATTTATTATTTATTTATTAATGATATACAAGTCATTTACTGAAGAGGGCAGTTATATAGATTAGATCATAAAGCAAACAAAACATTTGCAACTCTTTAATTTAAATGATCAGTATACTCTTCCTGATTAGATCTTATGTACTCTTTAAGTATAATTTCCTTTATGTCTTACAGAATTCTGCAATCAATAATTTTGGACTTGGCTACTATTGTCTTGCCAAACAAGCATTCTAAATGAGATCCAGCCACTTCCCATTTTTTTTTCCCAAAAGCATTTAAAAACAAAAACAAAACACACACCAAATGGATTTTCCCCAGCTTCAAATTGAAATTCGTTCCTGGAATTACTGCCCTGTAATTTCCAAACCCGACTATCTTTGCAGAAAAATCGGAGATCTTCTAGTTCAATTTCAACTGAATTCAATTTCAATTGAATTCAATACTTACACACAGATACACAGCCCTGAGTTAAACCCGTTCACTCACACACGAATTCCTTCGCCTTTGCTCCATTGCTACACGTTGCCCCCAGCTCAGTCTCCAGATGATCAAAACTTCAAATCCCTTGACTTGCAAAATAAAAGTGATTTTTTTTTACTATTTTAGACGATTCTCGGTACCTTTAAAAAAAAAAAAACGCCACCAATCTTTCAGACCTTTCCTGAATAAGGAAAAGAAAACTTTCTTCGAAATAGCATTTTTTCCCTGCAGAAATGTCACTCCCTCTCCCGCGATCCATCCGAGCCCCACGATCTCGAAATTATTAATCACCCCTTGCAAAAGACTCTTCCACGCACCGGGAGTTTCGCTCCGTTTTCGGAATCGACTGTTTCCTCCCCGAAGAGAATTCCGAAAAATTTGAATCCCACCCCGCAGCCAGGACACCGGAGACGAGGAAGATACCCTCCCGCCCACCAAAAGGGGGAAAAAAAATCCTGTTTCGACTTACCACCGGATTCATTTGACCCACTCCGGCTCCCGTTACTCATCCCCCCAGAGGCGCTGCTTCCGGAAAGGGAAACCAAATTTGCATGCCCAAATAGTACAGTACATTATGTTACCATCATCTGGTGGGAATCCGACGTTGCGGCCGTCTCATTTGATACATACGCACAGACTACATGTCCCAGAAAGCATTGCTCTTTAGGCGGAAGTAGACCCTCGGGGAAGAACTGCTGTTTGGGAAATGTAGGCTTCCAGTTTAGAAAAGTTGCAATGTTGGGAATCCGAGGAAATGGCCTGTAAAAAATCTAGTTTTTCATAATTTATGCAATCCGCTGGGTTTTACGAATTAGGGATTTCTAATCAGTTGTACATTGCCACCAATTAACTAAATAAACTCTCACCTTCTCTTTTAATAGGTTGAAGATGATCATTTTCATGATAAAAACATTTCTAGGAAGTCTTAGTTTGTATAATTAGTTACAATATAAGTAAAATTCAAGGGTTGAGGTTTTTAAATTTTGTGTCAAAAGTCAAGAAGTATCTACCCTAAATCATAATGGATATGGCCTACATCAGAAGAAACAAGTATTCAATCAGGTAGTTTTATATATGGAATAAACCAGTGAAATCAGAGGAAATGAGGAATACAACAAAGAAACAAAATCATATCAGAACAGTCTGGCCTTCCACGTTCTCAGTAGGTGCACTTGGTGGAAGAGAGTTATGATGGGTGATGTTGTCACCGAAAACTAAATATTGTTGGTTATTAGATGCGTTTAACCAGGAATTAGGCAAGTTTTGAGAGACTATGGGGACATCATCCACAACAGCAAGGGTAACCCCACTGTTTGTGTGGGGACTGAGGCACGTCTCTGCCTCTGGTCGCCGTCTGATAGCTGGGTCAGAGAGTCTTCACCTGTAGCAATTATCTCAGCAGAATCCCCAACTATCACCCATATAAATTTATGTCAGTTTTGGGGGGGATACAGTTGGGGGTCATCTTGTAAGGAGATGTTAAAGGCACTTCTGACTCTAGTAAAGGTGGTAGATAAGTTGTATCCTTAGAATCTGCATGCTTAAAGGACACTGTACAATGGAACAGTTTGTCTTTCTGCTGTAGCCTGCGTGACAATACTTTTTTTTGTTATTGAGGAAATAGTAGATTGTTGGGTAACTCTATTGTCACAAGTTTAAGTATTTGGTGAAGCCAATTTAAATAGAGGCTTTGTTGTGAATTGGGTTGTTGTCAGTGCCTCTTTTAGATCATCCAGTCTCTGAATAATGTTAGCTTACTCAGCTTCCTGGATGAAGAAATTGGAATAGAAAAGAACTTCCCGATAAACAATATTTAGGTCATGTCAGGATTTTTAGTTGACTAGTGTTGCGTCCTTCGCGAAATGGCAATGACACGAGAAGCAGTTGTAGTTCTCAGGAACTTCTTTATTTCTGTTCAGCATACTGGTTACAAGACGCCAACAATGCCCGAATCTCCCGGCCTCTTTTATAGGCCATTCCCGGGCCAATCTGCAACATTTGGCGCGCCAGCACCCGCGCATGCGCGCACGTGCTGGCGACAGCCAGTCTGGTCCCAGGCAGCTTGCACCTGCCCAGGACCGTTGCAATGCCCCGAGCCTGCTTCCACAGGCTCAGGACATAACAACTAGCCTATCATGCTTACTTTTATCTGGGACTTCTACACCAGTGAAGTTTAACATTATCTCCTTTTCCACGTCATAATGACAGGACCAAATTAGACCCGAACCAGAATGCTTCTGATAGGTGATATTTTCTGAATCTACTTGAGGTTCTCCTCATTGTTTCATAGATTTATCCTGCTTAGAAGCCCATGGACCTTTAAATTACTAAACATCCTCATCCCCAGTTGAAGCAAGAGAATATCCAAAATTCTAGGGTTGAAAAAACAGAGTTTGCAGGGAATCTGAGGCAACATGCTTTATATATCAGCTCTTAGGAAGCGACAATGAAAAAGGTTGGCATTTTCCTGGCCATATATGTAAGCTTCTAGAATGCATGTGTTTGGCCACTCTATGAACACCAAATACTAATCAGTTTAACGAATCGCAACCTGATTTAACAGGTCACTTCTTATGGATTCTCTTTCCTTGCTATTAATTTGCATTTCTCTTCTTCTTTGTCAATTATGACTATGTGCATAACCTTACAAAAAAAGCAACCTTGGCATAATGCCATATGTTCATTAATAGATAAATTGCATGCCTTAGCCATAAAGGTATGTCGTATCCAGCCTTGTTAACAGAAGGACTCCATGAATTAGGCTACTAAACTGTTAATTGTATTTTTGGATCCTGCTTGGTTAAGTTACTTTTGTACTGAACTTGAACCGTAATAAATTTATCTATCTATATACAATATAAGCATGGATAATTTAGTTGAACAGATATACACTCTTTCCTAGAAATTAGGATCTTGATATTACAATTAAACTGAATAAGGCATGCAAAAAAACCTGCAGTGGAGTTTATAACTTATCAGTAACCCAATTTAGTGGACAAATATACATTACGTTAAACACAGGTGAAAGTGGTTTCTCTGCATTGACTTAAATAATTTTGAATCTGAACCTTTATTCAGAATAATACATTTAGCACATTTTAATAGTTGCCAGTAGATGGCTCTGTTAATGTCTGGATAATTTATGTTATGGCTGTGTTTCTTGCCATAATGTATTATTTATTTCTTTGATTTAAGTTCTACGTTTTTTGTATAGAATTCAAGGTGACATGCACAGAACTTCTTCCTCCTACTTTTTGCCACAATTCTAAAGTAAAAGTAATCTATCAACTTCATCTATATTATTTGAAAAACATAGCCTAGATATGGTGTACCTAACCTATGGTGTAATTGTTATTGTTACTATCAGCATCTATACATGCATTTATAAATGCCCTAATGTAGTCCCTTCTATAATAAACCATGTCTGCTTCTACTCTTGTTCAAACTGTCACTGTATTCTTTCTCTTATTGTATTGTTTTTAATTTGTCTTATTCTTTCTGCATTCTGTTTTGTATTGTGAACTGTCCAGGGTTGTTTTGGCGTTGAATGCAATCAAAGTGAAATTAAATAAATAATAAAGAAATGATTAATTGAGCTTTACACCCACTATTTGTCCTGTACTAGTTGCACATTAAGTAAGTTTTAATAATCTGCTCTAAGTTAATAAGTTCATAGGCACACGGAGCCTGTATCACAGCAAACTCTAATATGATTTCTTAATCAGAGAATGATGCATACTGATTTCATGTTTGAGTTTATGTAAATAAATGTATAAAATCATATAAGGAATCATTTAGTTAAGTTTAGTTTAGTTTATCAACCCTTGCTCCATACAATAATCAAAAATAAAGTATCCCCAGCAGGTTCAGTGCATCCTATGAAGGGAATACATTACTCTTTTCTTACATTTTTCTTAGATTTTCTTAGATATCATTTGGCAAAATATGATGTCCTATAATTTTCATTCATTATTTTTTGTTCTGTAAATATAGGCAACAGGCTTATAATCTTCTGATATGATATCTTTTCAGGTATTTGAAGAGTGGTATCATGTATCTCACTTCATCTTCTCAGGCTAGCCATGCCTAATTCTTTGAATATCTTTTAGAGTATTGGATTTAGTTCCTAGTTACTGGTCATCATCACTTATCTTCTCTAAATCTGATATAGTTTGTCTCCTTAAAGTGAGTCCTCAAAACTGAACATAATATTCAATATGGAGTCTATCCATCACAGAACAAAATGGAATATTATGTCTTGTGAATGTGGGAAATATACCTTTATTAATAAGCCTAAATACTGCTGTTAGCAAAGCTAGTATCCTCATTCTATTTTGTGTTTATATATTTGATTTCTGTTTCTAAATAAATGGCTTTGGATTTGTTTCTCTTAAATGTAATTCCATTCTTTTCAGCCCATTCTACCATATCAAAATTCTTTTGAATTGTTTATTCTTGCTTCTCAAATATTATAAATTCAGTTTTGTGACTGTTATGTCCCGAGCCTTGCAAACGGCTCGGGCGTTTGCAGGCAGTCCCGGGCAGGTGCAAAGCTGCCCGGGACCAGACAGGCTGTCGCCAGCGCCGTGCGCATGCGCGGGTGCTGGCGCGGGAAAAGTAACCCATTTACCCGGGAGTTGCCTATATAAGAGGCTGCGAGGCGTTTGGGCGAGGCTGAAGCCATCTTCCTGTAAGCTGAACGCTGAATAAAAGAAACTGAGAACTCCAGCTGCTTCTCGTGTCTGTTTTCCCGCCACGGACTCAACACTGGCGACGAGGTGGGATGCCTTGCACTACCTGGAAAGGAAGAAGTGTAAGCTTACCCAAGGAGTCCTGAGCGGCGGAAGAGGAACGGCGTCGACTCGGCAGCTGCCCGCCAATCCGGTGCGCATTCGGGGGTAGGCTGGCTGATAGACCCGTCTCCTGAAGATCCGAAGATGGCGAAAATCGGAAGGCTTTCGGAATTCGACGTCTCACATCCAGAGCGGTGGGAGTCCTACGTATCCAGAATGGAGAACTACTTCAAGGCAAACCAAGTGAGGGAAGATAGCTTGAAGGCGCCACCCTGCTTTGCGTTTGCGGCCAAGACGCCTTCGAAATCGCAGAAAACCTTGCAGCACCTGTCCAGTAGAGTCTGTAAGCTACGCAGACCTGAAGAAGCTGCTGAAGGAGCACTTCCACCCCAAGGTGTCCGTTATCTCAAGGCGCCACACCTTCGAACAGAGGGATCAACGGTCCGGTGAGTCAGCCAAGGAATACATCGCCGCGTTACGGAAGGCCGCCAAGCCCTGCGAGTTCAAGGACCTCGAGGAACGACTGAGGGACCGATTCGTGTGCGGGTTAAGGCATCGAGAGCTACAACAGAGACTTTTCGCTAAGGAAGAATTATCCTTCCAAGACGCCTTAAGGGAAGTCACCGCAGAAGAAGCAGCAGGCGGCGCCGTCAAGAACATGCGGCCGATCAGAAGCAGTGCAGAGGGTGCGTCCGTGCACCAGGAAGACGTCCAACGAAACTCCGAGGAGGATCCAGACGAGGAAGTCGACCGTCTACACCCCGCGAAGGAAGAAAACCAGAAGGGAAGCTCTTCGGCTCCGCTCAAGTGCATCGGCTGTGGAGGTCGCCATAGGAGAACCGACTGCAAGTTCCGCTCCGCTACCTGCCGGGCATGCGGCAAACAAGGGCACATTGCAGCTGTGTGTCTGGGCCGACGAAAGGCACAACCCCAAGAAGAACACCTGAAGGGTACCAGACTCCCCAGCCAGAATAGGGTAGGTTTTTGCGCTTCGCGAAGAAGCATCTGTAGGACAGGCACACACAAGCCCATGAAGAAAAAGCTGTCACTCAACGTGAAGCTACAAGGGGTTCCATTATCTATGGAACTAGACACAGGGTCTGCCCTTTCCATCATTTCATTGCATACATTTAGGAAGATTTGTTCCAGTAGTGGGACTAAGGCCAAGTTAAGGCCTTCTGATATTGTATTAACAGATTTTCAGAACTCAAGAGTGTGTGTTAAGGGGGAGGCCACCCTTAACGTGCAATACAAGAGTTTTGAAGGTCCACTAGACTTATTAGTAGTAGGGGGTGAACGAACGAGTCTCATAGGACTCGATTGGTTTGAGGCCCTGGGGATACACGTCACAGGACTCAACAGCTTACAAACACTCGACCTACAGGAAGTCTGCAAAGAATTTGCAGATGTTTTCAGCCCCCAGCTGGGCACATTCAAAGGACCACCTGTGTCCTTAAAGCTAGACCCCACTGTCACTCCCATTAGGATTAAAGCAAGAAGGGTCCCTTTTGCTTTAAAAAGTAAGATTGACACTGAATTAGACAAACTAATCCAACAGGGAATCCTAGAACCTGTTGATTCCAGCCCGTGGGAGACCCCCATTGTCACGCCTCTAAAGGCAAATGGGGACATTCGCATTTGTGCTGATTACAAATGCACACTCAATAAGGCATTGCAGCAACATGCCTATCCTGTTCCTGTGGTCAGTCACATCCTGGCCTCTCTCAAGGGGGGGCGTGTTTTTGCAAAGCTTGACCTAGCTCAAGCATATCAACAGCTGCCTGTTGATGATGATGCTGCTATAGCTCAGACCATTGTGACCCACAGGGGAGCCTTTAAGGTAAAAAGGCTACAGTTTGGAGTGAATGTCGCTCCTGGGATTTTCCAAAGCGTAATGGAAAACACACTACGAGGTATACCAGGGGTCTGCCCCTACTTTGACGATGTCTTGATTGCAGGAGACTCCACACACATTCTAGCTGAAAGGCTTAGGGCTGTCCTGTTAAGATTCAGGAAATCAGGCCTCAAGCTCAGAAAAGACAAATGCAAGATTGGGGTGCCTTCTACTGAATTTCTGGGATTCAAAATTGATGCTGCTGGGATTCATCCTGCTGAATCCAAACTAACTGCTATTTTAGAAGCACCCAGGCCAAAGTC